TACACTTCACGACAGCGGACTTTCTCAATATCCCAGACTGTGATCTCGTTGCCATGGTTGCCACTACTCGACACACAGACCCACCGACCCCGTCCCTTAGTCGGGTGCACTTGAAGTCTATGAATGATGCTGGACCCAGGAAGGCCCCATGCCTTCAACCTCACTCGAAAGCGAAGATCCCAAAGGTCAAGAATGCCATGTGTCGTGCCTATCAAAAGCCAATTATGCTTCCGGTCGCAACAAAATGTAGTTGGCGTCCCATGGTGAACAGGGTTTTGAAGAGAAAAGACAGGAAGCATAGTCTTCATGTCCAAGGCCAGAACCCGGCATGTGTTCGTTGCAATCAATAGTGTGGACTGTGCATCTACACGGAAGTGTTCCATCCAGACTGCGTATTCCACAGTTCCATCTTCGGCCGCTGATAGTTGGTACTCGCGTACGAGTTGGAGTTTTCCGTACCGAACGGTCTCGTTAACGTTTTTATAGTCAACTTTTACCGCGTGAATACTCCCATCGGTAGCACCGCTGATGAAAGTGTGCGTGTTTTCAACAAAGGTCAACGATTTGATCTTAGCTTCGGTAGAGTGGCGGTAAGTTTGACGAGACCTGGGCGTCAAGTTCTTCTCAAGACGGCTTGTGTCCCAGATTTTGACAGTGCCATCATCCGAGGCAGTGACAAAAAACGCATGATCCGGCGCTATTACGACTTTATTCACCGGCCCACTATGCTCACCAAAGATGACAACTAGTCCACCAGTTGGTTTCCATACCTTGTTCGTTTCGTAACCGCTGGTTTTCTTGATCGCTCGCCTGGTATCTATTTCTTTGACATAAGGACCTAGGTCAAAGAAGTCCGTAGGGTAGTTTTCCGCAAACACATTATCGAGTAACCTAAGGATGACAGGGTTATGTCCTCCGTATGAGTGACTGGCATGATACTGTTGTGGCCCATTCTCGAGAGCTTTCCCGTCATGAGCAACGGACAATGGAGATGGCTGCGGCGTTCCCCGATGTGATGGAACATCGACTTTGCCAAATGCATTTGCAGAGCTCGTACTGGTTTCGGCGTAAGTTTTCGCAGACTCCTTACGATTGAGTAGGCTTATGGCACTGGATTTCTTCTGTACACCAGTGGCTAGATTCCTCACCACTGGGTTTTCAGCGTCAGTCGGCGTTGATGAGCTTTCTTGCCCAGGGCTATTTCTTCCCTCAGTAAGTCTTCGCTCAGTGTCTGAGCTAGGGCGGGATAAGGGCCCTGATCCTAGCGCAGCGCTTGGTGACGATGCCACTGGCGACGAGGCAGGTGAGCTTTCAGCTGCTCGAAGGGTATCCAAGGTATCCTGCTTTGGCGTAGTCAGGATAGGCCCTATTTCTCTCTGTAGTTGACTTCTTGAACGTGCATGCTTTCTACGAGAGTTAGGTCTACTATCAATCGTAGTTGAAGCATCGAGTAAAGCATCAGTGATGGTATGTGGTCTGCGCTCGCCAGTTTTGCTAGGTTGATCCTTGGCCGATGAGGCTCTGCGTGGCTTCACATTTTGATTCTTGTCAAAGAAAACGGTCTGAGGGTTTACTCCATATTGCGTCAAAGCAATGACGTTATTCAGGTCAGAAGTCCCATTTTCAGACTCTTTTACCTGACGCGCAGTAACTCTCCATATGTATTCTCTGAGCGCGAGCAATTTAAGCTCATCGTCAGAACCCATCCCCATATTCTTTAACCTGGACAACCACTGTTCATCTTCCTCGTTCCTAGAGTACGAGCTTAGAGAGTAACTCGAGCTTCTCTGGCTTCCTCTGGGAATGAAGCTGTCATTCGTACCGAGGCTGAAAGTTCCCTCTCGATTTGCTGTTCTCCAAAATATACCCTTTTCAACTTTGGAAGCCCATATAAAGGCTAACTCGTATACATTTCTTGGAAGAGGTTTTTTAAGCGCGTCGAGTATATCACCTTCTGAAAACCTTACAGTGTTGACTTTAAGGAAAGGCCGAATAAGTGGTGTAAGGATAGAATACTTATCAGCCACTGATAGGAACTTGGTGGAGTTGACAACGAATGTCACAGCTGCTTCGCGGGTCCACACGTTAGGGTGAACTAAGAAACGTATCGTGATGTCAAGGAGATCCCAGGTGGTCGATCGCTGAAATAGTCCGAGATCGGCCATCGCAGCAAGCGAGCGAAGAACTCTTTCCACAACAAATTCCTCCGGATCAGTCATCGACTGTACCATTAATGGTAAAATGTACTGTTCCAAGCTTGTGCTCCCAACGTAAGCTGCAACACCCACGACAGCCTCGAAAAAGGCACATTTTAGGATCCAATCACGATCATTCAGATACGTATTTAAGTGGCTTAAAATAACCTCATTAGTCTTGAGGTTACCGAAAAAGACGCAGAGGCTGGAGACAGATCCAAGGAAAGCGCGTCGAACTGACGCATCGCTGTCGGTTAAAAGAGCTTTGGTATGAGCTTCAAAGTACTCAAGAAGATCGACCCTTGCCACATCATAAAGATTGTGATAGGTGGCGTCTTCGGTCCACCTGGGTTCAGAGCCCGCTGGTATCAAAGCTGGCAGGCGGGTATCTGTGCGTAGCGCCTGTATCATATCCAAAAATCGGAGGGATGATTGCGCTAGAGATGCTATGCTCGATGCATACGCGGCGCGTACCAGCGGACTTGGTTTTGAATTGGAACTAGAAACAAATGGCTGAAGCCTTGGAAAAATGTATTCCGAAAACAGATAAGCATTCACTGGAGACACAACATGGACCATCTCCAGTAATTGTGCAAGTGAACGTATAGCTGCAACCCTCACAGAATCAGAGCGATCATTAAGAAGAATCATAATGTAAGGGAGGATGCGGTCCAATTTTGCCTCATCAGACAATCTCTCAGCAAAGGCAAGAAGGATATCGCAGGCCTTGACTCGGGAAGACGCTCTAGACGTGTTGCGTAAATTAGATACAACGAGTGTTAAGAAAATGAGAACACCATCGTCTGTTTGTGGCTGAGATTTTGCCCCTTGATGCCCATATTGGGGCAAATCGAGCTGGACAGGGAAAGTATTGCCAGTAAGCCTCGAGGTAGTGCGACTAGAGCCGTCTTTCATAGTCTTGGTTGATGCACCGAGGAAATAAGAAATCTTATCGAAGTCAAGGTAGACCCTGTCTATTCTGTCATCGGCCTCTCCCCTGTTGGCAGATTCGGCTTCAACTTGTGCTCTGCCCGAGGAGGGGTCTGTCATGAGAGACATATATTGATGGAGGAAACTATAAAAGTACTCCGGGAAGGCTTTGTTTTTCCAAAAGCTCAAGTATTCTTCTGCAGAATATCTTGACTCTGGGTCGATCTGAATCATGTGAAGAATCAATGCCCGAATTTCCGGGTCCTCGATCTTGGCTAGCTGGCCATGTTCCGGACTGTATTCGCCTTTTCGATATTTGTACATTTGGCTCAAAGTAAATATGGGCGACTCTAAGAACAACTCTGCAATTACACAGCCGGCACTAAAAATGTCCATGGCCCAGTTAACTTGCTCAGATTCTCGTTTCTCACCAGCTTCTAGAAACCTTTCAGGTGCCAAGTAACAGGTTCGTCGCCCGGAGGTGTCGAAGTAGAAGTGAAAGTCAGCAGGATTGTCTTCCGGAAGGAATGTTAGTTTGAAAGATGATGAGAAATCTGACAAATAGAGCCAATTCCATGATGTGACCAAGACATTCTCCGTTTTGATGTCACCATGGAAGACATCGAGCGCATGACAATCTCGCAATGCACACAGAAGCTGGAACGCAATCCATTTCTTCTCAATATCCTCTGGGAAAGGCCGCGTACTACGCCGGTTAGAGGAAGTCCATGAGTTAGATGTTCAGCACATACCTCATGCGGTCATAAAGAGAGCTGTGGATGTATTGGCGAACTAAGTAACCGCCGGTACCAGTTTCAAGGATTCTTTGGTAACTCAAGGCATTGGGGACATCCAAAAGCAGCTTGCGCTCCCCTACCCTGATAAGTTAGAGCGCCTCGGGCATATTGGCACACGGCTTATAAACAAAAACGTACGAATTATAGCTTTGACATATGGCTCTAGCTCCATGCTAGGAAAAGGCTTCATGATTACCTTAACAAAAACGAGGCCATTTTGCTGCCTTGCCCGGATGCTCTTCATAAATCTCCCACCACCCATCGATTTTTCATATGTCAAGTCTGACAGCTCGGGGATATCGATCCCGGCCGAACCCGCTGAAAGGGTTGTAAGTGAATAACCTTGGCCCATGTCGAAGTTCCTTCATCTCAGAGGCCTTTGAAAGCAATGAAACCCATCAACGCAAAGATGGGGGAAGCATCTGTCTCATATACAGAGCAAATCTACGATAACGCTTTGACAGAAAAACGAGCAGTTGGAAGTCATACCTCGCACAGGTGAAGTTGACGCGTTGAAAGGTGTCGTCGTTGGTAATGTAAATGTCACATGATACGGGCGGTGTAATTTGCTCCGTAAACTATACGTATTGACAGGAGGGACCGCCCAGAGCAGCTTACTACGCGCTAATGAGAATCATCTTTGTGGAACAAGAGGCGCGATTGAAAAAAAAAATATAAAGATAAAATAAATTGAATGGAAGCAATCATATTTAGAGCGGCGCCTTGCAGATGCGTGGCGTTTGATAAGATGTGGTAACTTATCGCTAAAGGGTTGGTATTAAAGAAGGAATGCTATTGCTAAATCTCGGCCGTCAATTCTTCAGGAGAACTTGGTGCCTGAGGCGTAGACTCTGCCCGATAGACGCAATGGCGTACCGTACTAGGAGGAAAGCTTGTTTAACTATCAGGCTCAAGAATACTGCCTTATCCAATCAGACGACATGATTCAATACAGCCGGTCCCCGTCTTACTGATAGCTGTCAACCCATTAAGGAGTTATTAACTTCACCGTTTATTCTGCTCTGCAAAACTCCACCTTCCGTGCCCCTCAGTGACTTATGATACCTACAAGTATTTATCGCGAGTTGCATATTTGGAGATTGAATCAAAGGGCATCGATAACACTTGGGTCCATGCTATCCATATCAGTCCGTAAAGAATTTCGTCGTCAATCTACGCCAAGGCCATCATCCACTTTATCGAAGGTACAGATTCGGTCAAGAAGCGCCACGTTCAATCACGACCACGACCACGCTTCCAGTGATGGATTCCGCTAATTATTACCAGGCTCTTCGATCGTAAAGCCTGAAGTTGGGCTGAGCGACCTTGACATCGAACCGGAGGGCAGCTTCTGGATAACCTATGACCACTATGCCTTCAGTCAATTTGGATTCTTCTACGTCGTCAATAGGGCCCCATGAAAATGAGCATCCCGAAATTCCGATCATTGATGACAATGAACCGTTAGTTGACGTGATCCGAAAGCTATATAAGTAACTTCCGCACTCACTGCCGTGCTTGGGACATGGCCCTGACATGCTCTTGTCTAGTTATTTGGCATCAACTATATCTGATGTCTCATATACCTTTGAACAAATTGGATCTACTTCCCACGGCTATAGTCTCAGGTTGCTTATTCATTCTTTAGTGGAAAGCTCACATAACACTTATATTATTCCTGCATTGATGTAAGTTTAGTTTGATATATTTATGTCTTTCCTTCATCAGAGGGGTTCCAACTCACTCGTCTTAGGATCCTGAAGTGGCAATTCGATAATGCTGCCGATTATGATTGGGGCGTAAGTGAAAGTCGAGGATACGCTTGTGAATATGTTGCCTGGCAATTTGTCTGTCACCTTAATCAGCGGGAAACTCTTGAATACCTACTTGAGGAACTCACATGGCCCACACAGAAGGCTATCAACCTTCCTCATGCGGAAATGGGTGCTTCTGGATATGCCTCTGCTGCTGCCACTAACCACCGGACACTAGAAGAGAATGAGAGAGTACCATTGTTGCTGGGCTCGTCGTCGTCTTTGTATCGCTTCTTTGGCGGCACGAGGCGTCTAGGTAGCTCACTTGAGGATGATAATCGAGGCTCCCACGACTTCACACATGATGCGTATGAACTGGAGAAATTCTCACTGTTTTTTGGACTGAATGCTCTAGAAATTGCAACTATTGCTCATGCAAAGAAATTTCTCAGCCAAAAAGTGGTACAGAGAGTCATTGACCATATCTGGAAAGGAGAGATAGTTTTCTGGGACACGTTGAGTGTGCACTCGACAAAGAAACCACACTTCTTCAATAAAAGGTAACATGTCCAATGCTTCTCAATCTTCATCCAGTTGCTGAAATACAGTTGCGATGCAGGACGGCGGATCCTTATTCTCGATTGCGGGTTCCGGTATATCGCAAAGCGTTTGAAGCGGCTTTCTTTGTCTCGTTCTTAGTCCTATACTACGCGGTCTTAGTTGAGCGAAAGCCTACAGGTATAGGAATCTTTGAAACACTGATGTATTTCTGGATCGCTGCCTTCGCTTATGATGAAGTAAGCGGAATGGCAGATGCAGGGATGCTTTTCTATCAGATGGACTTCTGGAAGCTGTGGAATATGGGAATAATAGGTACCGGACTTGCCTTTGTCATTGCAAGTGAGTCATTATCCCCTGTGAATCTGCCTTACCGTCCTTTCAGCTTTTTCAGCTGGACTAGGATTCTGTGCCATCGGGGTGAGCGAGCCCTTGTTTCGCCCCCTCCTATGTGCTAAACCCGAATATTGTCTAGGGATCATCGGGTTGGCCAAGGATAGTGATTACATTACAGACTTGTCATTTGATATACTTTCGTTAGAGGCACTATTCCTAGTTCCAAGGCAAGTTTCACTTACCGTTACTAAGTTTCAAGTCCATGTTTAGGATCTGACGGTGGCAAACAGGATATGCTCCCTTGTCAGCCTCAATTCCTATTTTGGGAGTCTGGTACGTCGGCCCCGCCGACCCTGCATTAAGAAAAAAAAATCCATGTCATTGGACAGGCTGACAAGTGCTATGCATAGATACCTGTTCTGAAGGAGATGGTACCATGCCCGGGGCTACTCCGATGACGAAGAAGCTGATAAGACTGATCGTTCGGGTCTAGACAAAGTCATTTTTCCGGTTTATGCCCGTTGTAGTTGTCCTATACATTGGTATGTGGCGCTGAGGCACGCTAGAGCGTTGAGGGTAGTCTCATATGATGACATTGTGGCGCTGCAGGGTTCTTGACGACGTTCACCATGCTTGCCCGTGACCGACTTTCTCTTAGGCAAATGTCCTGGATTTTAGTGAAGGTGTTCTTTGGGTATTACGGTGAATCCCCTGTTGCTAGACTGTTTGTACTAACAACGCGAGGCAGATCGAACGTGTTAGGCTTTGTGCGTTGTATTCCGTTGGCGTAGAAGTGTTCTTCAAACTAATGGTGGCTGAAACGATTGGATATTAGGACATCGCTCACGAAGTAAGTACAATGCGCTAAGCAGCTGTCATGCAGCCCGAATCATAATTACCGGGGTTTTTGAAAATCGGTTGGTCATGGTGTTAAGTTGACTGACGCGCTAATTCTTAGATTTCCCCGATCTTCGGCTACGGCTTGATGTGAGTTTCTCCTCCCGTACGGAGTATACTGCGCCACATGTACATTCATGAACTTGGCCGCATACTCTTTCGATCACGTTCGACATTTGGAAAGATTTTCAAGATAGTATGGCGCTATCCAACTCAATGCCGCCGTCTTTGCCCTATCAATCCCTCTCAGGCTCTAACCTTCCCCCCCCTTTTTTTTTTATTCCTTCTTTTTGTGGCCTTGGGAGTTGCATTTGTATGCGCTGTTTTGGGTCGTACGCCGGTAACCCCACGATACTTGGCATGAGAATTCTACTTACATCAAAATAAAAATATGAAAACTGATGTGTGCAAATCACAGGCTAATTTTCGTCTCAATGACGAACCTGTTACTGATCTCTTCGTTGGTCAGTCTCATGAGCATGAGCCTAGAAGGGGTACGTTCAATCTAGTGTGGGGCGTCCCAGCCTGATTCGTCCAAGAATGCTAACTTGTCTACCCGACATTCTCGTAGGTTATGGCTCACGCTCGCGAAGAATATCTTTTTCAGTTAGTTTTACTGGTATCCATTTCCTTGCGATTATTCCCTGCTGACGTGTAGGACCAGGTTATCTATTTACGTGTTGGAAAGCAGTAATTCTCGACGATTAACCTATTTTATGCCACCATTGGTTAGTACTGCAAGGGTGTTGTGGTTCGCCCATGCCGCTAACCATGGAACCTTGATGCACAGAACCTCATCCCTCTACTTTGTATCCGCCCACTGAGGCTCTTTCTGCCTGCGGAGCATATCCGCCGGGTGCGCATCGTTTTGCTCAGAGCAACGCACCTCCCCTTTGTAGCTCTCATCTGGGCCTACGAATCTGGTCGCCGCTTTGTCTCGCGGCGCAATAGTCAATGGCCGCCGACAGCTACAGCACGGGGGAGTAGTCGCCCCGTGTCATCGATTCAGACTGGTTTAGCCTTCTCCACCGCTGATGCTCGCTCTTTAAGATCTGGTAGGGCCAGAAAACAACCGGACCCTGGGCAGTATATTGGGGTGCGTGGACGAGACCCGGGCCCGGCCGGGAGTGTTGACCTCGCAGATATGATCGACGAGGTGGAACGGTTGCGCACTCAAGTGGAGCGAGTGGCAGCCACGGTGGCCTTCCACCACCGAGTTCAATAATGAACGTTAGGAGAAGAAAGGGACTGGGGTGGACTACATACAAGGCAAGGAGAACGGACCACTGCGATATACACACGCACTGCTGCTCGCCTAAAGAGTTAGTGCGAAGACCGGTCACATTCACCAGTTCCAAATCGGAAATAATTCAGAGTACGTAGATTGTTATTGAGCAATCATCTATATTGTGTATTTTCATTTTTTTTTTTTTTTATTTTCTCATTTCCTTCCCTAAATTTCTATTTAATTTTGATTTTTTGGTTATTTCCCCCGAATTCTTATGATTTTGGAGGGGAGGCGTATGCAATAATTGGCAGCGTACTTTCCCCAATGATTAATTGGAATGGGTATTGATAATGTCTCAGCTCGTATGATCTTCAACGCCTATATTATTTGCATGACTGGATGAAACTCATGGCAAGAAAAGGTTAGTGTCGTCTAACATAGGCGTACCTACTCATGGATCAAAAGGGTTCTATGCTGATCATCGACAGAAAATGAAAGATTTCGGGAAAAGTACGGAGTAAACAAAACATACGGAATGATCTAATTTTTTTTTTTAAAAAAAAATAAAAAAAAAATAAAAAAAAAAACACCCCCCAACGGGAATGAACAATAGCCGATGATACCTACGGAGTACTCCGTACATAGAAGTACAAATGATTCATGATCAAAGCCAAAACGAGCCTGAAGAGATGTGATTATTTGCTGGTTCCATCAAGGGTCGGGTGGCCGGAGAGCCCCTCTTGCCTAAACAGGAGGCTCCATCATTCTCACCATTTCATTTCTATCCTCCATAACGGACTGCGTTAGTCTCTGGAACCCCTCTCTCCCCTTTTTTCTCGGATCATGCGGCTGTGTTTACCAATCAGATAGGGAGACACGCACTGCTATTTTGCCAAGCAAGGTTACCAGACTGTCGGGTCGTAACTAAACCTCTTTGATGAAAGAGCAGTGGGTGAAGTGTGCGCTGGTGTTTGACTGGCCAGCTGTGATCGAGGGACTGTTCAGCGGTCCCATACGTTCCATACTCCGTACGCATACATACATACATACTACTACTGCTGTGGTGGTGGTGGCGGTGGTAGTAGTAGTAGTAGTAGTAGTAGTAGTAGTAGTAGTAGTAGTAGTAGTAGTAGTAGTAGTAGTAGTAGTAGTAGTACCTTCGTTGCCCAGCGCTGGTCGTTACGAACTGATGCGGTCTTTTTTCTTCCTTTCGATCTAAACGAACAGAACCCACCCACTCACAAATATCCCCGTCGAGATGAGCCTTCTCTCGTTGCTCTCATACATGACACCACACTACTCGACACCCCTGTCTCCCACTCCCCGCTAGCTACATATTTTTTTTAAAATTTTTTTTCCTCATTTTTTCCCTCTATTTCCCTTCCGGTTTTGCCTGGAGCCTACTCGGGCAAACCCACTAGCCCTGGCCACAATAGCGGCTCC